GTCCAAGGATCTGTGGAAAGGTCAGGAATGGGGAGGTTACTAGTTTGTGTGTATCTCCCTGTGTTCTTAGGGTACACACAGACAGTGTGGACAAGGTCGAAAGGTTGGGAAGACATGTGCACATGGGGATGTGCACATGAGGTTACTGGATCAGAAGCAGCCTGGGTGACATGGGAGGGAGGTAGGTAAGGCCCCCAAGCATGGGGTACACTGTGTGGACACCCACACGGCAGTGGACACAGGATGCCAACACGCTCATTGTCATGTATGAATAAATGTATGTGTGCACTCGTTGCCCATGAAAGACAGCTGACAATGGGCAGAAGCTTTATTGAAGATGCCTGTGCAAAGATGCTACAGTTACCTGCACGTTAAACAGCAAACAGTTCCACATCCTATGGGAAAGTGTGGTGCTCAGTGTCTAGTGAGAATGCGATTTCACAAATATTAAGAAATCCCACCCCTCATCCCCCAAAAGGAAAACCTACTTCATCAGCACCCTGAGGCCCCAAATTCCACATTTAGAAAGTCATTTGGCTTAACATTGCCTGTTAAAAAGCAAATATCCCTAGAAAAGTAAGGCCATAAGCTTTACAGGCCACTAACGCCTAGTAGGTAAGGTCTACCAAAGCCTTTTCTGAGATCAGAGGGTGGGTGGAGGACAATGACAGCCACCAGCAGTTGTGTCACATGCTGGAAAAAGTGTTAGAACTTGACTCAGACTCAGATGCAGGATTGCACAATGGCTCTGCCAGTTCCTAGCTGTGTGATCTGGGGCAAACACGTAACTTCGCTAAACCCTCAGTTTCCTCATCTGTAAAATGTAGGAACCACTAATCCATCTCCAGTGCAGAGAGTATATTCAGATAACGTGTGAGCGCCCCTGGCAATGCCTGCTCCAAGAAACACTAGACAAGCAGGGGTGGAGTCTACAGGGATTGGGAGTCTGAGTGGGGAGGGGGAAGGGAGGGGAGGTCCAAGAGGGACCAAGGAGGCTGAATGCTCGAGGGGGTCTCCCAGAGCTTCAGATGTCAAGACCAGTTGATGTATTTTTAACTGGGGACACCAAGATAGAGTTGCCAACTGCTGAGCTGGCCAAAACTATCATTTCCTGACACTATCATTTAATAAAGATGGGACATTTTAACACCAAGAGTGGACGAGTGTACTTGTAGACCAAACGACAGTCCTTTCTGAGATGAGGCAGTTGCCACTCACCCTGGCATACTGTAGATCGTCCTCGCTAGCTTGCTTTGTCACACACAGGTGAAAGCTCTGCCCTGGGCCAGTGCTGGCCTGCAGACTGCTGGCAGGGGGGTTCTCCCTGAAGGGACTCACTGCTGCTGGCTTTCCCTCGACTTGAGGGTCACAGAATTATGCTGCTTATGGCCTGTGGGACACCAGGCCCTGGGCCTGCTGGGGCTTCTTCTTTAATCTGGGGTTCCTAGACACTCTGAGTATCGAGGCCTACATGGCCAAGAAAACTCCCACAGCATCTTTGTACTGGCCAGAAAGAAGGTAGTCAATAGTGGCAATTACCCCAGGTGGGCTTTTCCAAGGGAACACAGCAATTACAAACACTTATTCTATTCTATTCATTTCTATTCTATTCCACCCTGTACTATACCATATCATATGATCTACCCAGGGGAGTCAGGAGGTACTTCTTTAAAGAGAATTAGATCAGAGAGAAAAATAGAAAAAATAAAAGAGGGAATCGTGGGGAGGAAATGAGAATAAAAAGAGAAAAAAATAAAAGAAATAGATATTTATATATCTGAGAAGACTAGGGATAAGTGCACAATTTATGAGATGGAGCACGTCTAGCATCCCGGTCTTTGCAGCACAGCCCCCAAGTTCAGGGTGGTACAGAGTTTTCCCAGCAGAGGTGGGGGTGTCTGTGAGGGTGTCCTTATATGTGGAGGCATGCAGGGTGTCTCCAGTCTCTGCCCCTGTCCTTCCAGCAGGCCCCGAGCAGGCAGGCTCACCTCCTCACTGTACTTGCCCACGTAGGAGAAGATCTCTGAGAGCGCGCTCATGGTGTTGAACTCGTTCATGTGCATCCGGGACTGCTCAGCCAGGTAGGCGTTCATGTCCTGGTCGCTGATCGCCGGCATCTTCCCGATATCTGAGTAATACCTGCCGAAAGATGGGAATGAGGAGAAGACGCTGGGCTTGTGCATGAGCAGAGAGGAGAGATGGAAACTCCCAGCACCATGCCCGGGGCTGTGGGCTCGACTTGTGCTCCAAGTAGTGGGTACCTGTGCCATGACCACCTGGGGACACTGTGGTCTCTCTCCCATCTGGGCTTCTGGGTCTGCCCCAGGAAGGACCGTCTGCAGCTCCAGATGCAGGAGGCACAGAGGGAAGGGATTTGGGGAGTGGCCAAGACATTGTCAGAGGGTGGACAGAAGAGGAACCAGGAGTAAGAGGGGTCCCACTGCAAGGACCTGCTTTGCTTCCAGCCACCCATACAGAGTGGTCCAGTCTGTCTTGTGTCCCTCTAAGACTCTGTCCCACAGGCGCAAGAGCTCTCCTCCAGCAGGGCCCAAAGGCTCTCCCGAGCAGTTGCTCTTCCCCAATGTCCTCTGCTCTCTGGGGGGTTAAACAGGAGAAGGGAGGGGGCTGGCGGCTGCTCAGGGACAGAGGCTGGCAGAAGGCAATCAGTCACTGTCACTTGCAGCTGTGCACTGCTGTCAACTGGTTAATTAGATGCCAGCATTTACATTTTTAATTTCTGCAATTTGACATTTTATGCACCAAATCCCAACTCCTTTGCCAGAGGGGGGTTATGCAGTTTCCTAATGAGGAACCGAAGGGTCTCAGTCCCCAAAGAAAGACACTTCTCATCCTTTTTTATGCACTTTTGGGCTTGCAGACCACACAAAAGAGAACAGGTAATTGCAAACACAGGGAGGGCTTGCAGTGGCCCAGCCCAGCCCAGCCCAGCCCAGCCCAAATCCCTGCAGCTGCCTGGAGAAAGCAAACCTGAGAACCTAGGGTTGGGGAGGGTGGGGGAGGACAGTTGACAGGGCGGGGACTAGGGTAGGGCAAGGGAGGCACCTGGGTACCAAGTGGAAGGAGAGGTGCTCGCTCTCACAGTTGTGCAAGTGCTGCTGGCAGCACTGGGCCCCAGGAGCTCTCAGAGCTCAAGGCTTGGTCAGATGATCGTAGGGGCATTCTCAGGGGCTCTGGGATCCTCTTGCCCTGTATCCCAGCCTTGTGTCTTCCCCAGCCCATGTCCCTCATGGCTCTGACCAGGACCCCACCAGTCTCCTGCAATTTCCCTGACCTCCACCTGTCCCCATCGGTGCCCAGGAATCGGTGACATGCTGGCAGAGGTAGCACTCCTGTGCTACTCCAGCCATCAGCTCAAGGGCCTTCAATGGAATCACAGCTCAATTTGCTGCAGAGCATTCCCGGACTGGCGAGGGCTAGGATGGCTGCCCTGCTCTGATCCAAAGCCCTGCTGGAACTGCAGACCTGTCATTCCATCTGGAAAACAGGGAGACGGCAGAGGGAGGATGAAGCCTGTGCTCTCTGGCAAGGAAAGGGGCTGGTCAGAGGGAAACCCTGTGGCCCCCAGGAACCTGCACACACTGGACACCCTGCCAACTCCTGGTGGAACTGATTGCATTTTGGCCGGCAGGAGGTCGTGGCCTGTGACACACTGCAAGACAGGCAACAGGGACAAGGGCTGAATGATATGGCCATTCTCAGTGCAGCCTGGGGGCTCAGAGGTGGCTGGCCCACCCCAGCCTCCCTGGACTTCCTCACAGTGCTACTCTATCGCCGGCCCTCCCGCATCTCCAGAGCCCTCAGGGCATAGCTCGTGTCATTCTGGTTCCTTTGCTCCAGCCCCTGAAGAGTCTGCTCTCTTCTAACCCTGTTACCTGCCCAAAACACACAAACCCTCAAGCACCTCAATACACAGGGTTCTGGGGTAATTTAGTGACATTCCATGTATAAAAGTTCCAGCAAGAGACTGAATTCATTGCCTCTATTTCTGGAACACAATAAATGTCAATGTTCCATTTTATAGCAGGAGACACGGGGCTTTCACTAGTAATCCCAACGTGGCCATTCCCAAGGGGATTTGTGTCATTGTCCCCTAATGGATCCCATGCCCACTGGGCAAGATATGTTTGTTAAGTAAAGGGCTATCTTTACAGGTTGTATTGGCGAAAAGCATGGACGAACGACCTTGCTCACTTTAGGTACTGTGGCCAGCAGCCGGCTGTAGCTCTGGCAATGCGACTGGGTCCAAAGCTCCCTCCAGACAGTTACACTCTGTCACTTGTTGACAGTCAGAGCCTCTGACCAGGATGAAAAACCCAGATTCCCACTGAGAGGACATAGCTGTCATCAGAAGCAAGGACTCCTGCCGTTCCTGTTTCCTGCCCATGAAACCTTTCACTGGTGGATGGATGGTTTTGTCAGGCTTCCTGTAAGTAGCGCCAGGGCTCCTACTGCTGTGTTTATGGTCCCTGAGGTATATGGGAGCCCAGGTTAGGGACCACTGTCTCCACAGTGAAGAGATCTGCCCCAGCTGGGAGGAACAGTTGCCCAGCACTCTGTCCCTTCAAAAGGGCTTCCCTCATGGCAGGGCACTAAAATCCCAGTCCACTTCTCCAAAGAGAGTATTTAGAAAGTCTGCTTGTGTGTGAGAGAAACTGAGAGGTTGGAGTGAGGGAAGGGGGGCGGGGGTGCAGAGTGGAGCAGGGAGAGCGCAGGGTTCCAACCTTCCCACCCAAGAGTAACGGTGACACACCATTCCTGGGCGTGCCTGGCATTGGCCCAGGAGCAGGCCCTCCCTGAGCAGCTCTTCTCTTTTCTATTGCTTTGCATTGAGGAGGCTGGATTGGACCAGTGCATGTCTGTGGCCACACACTTAGCCCCCAGGTGGATCAACCACATGATCTCATCTTCAGCAAGGTCCACACCTGCTGAGCTCAGTGGCTATGGACAGCTCAATGCCCTGGATGGGTGTGCAGCTTGGACTCTGGTTGGCATTCTACCCTGTTCTCGACCTCAGCCCTGCCTGGGGCTAAGGGGACCCATCCTGTCTGCAGAGCTTTGCTGCCTTGACCTCTCCCTATTCCCCCTACCCCTAGCCAGCACCCTTGAGCCTGACATGACCCTACGTGAAACTCTGTCTGCCCTGGGCACAATTGCTTCCTTCCTGCTCTTGCTGAGCTGGCCTTTATGCTGGCTCCTCCACTGAGAAGCCTCATCGATTGTGAGGAATGCAATTAAGCCCCATTAACGAACTTCAAACAAGTGTTCTCATCAGCTGGCAGTGTAGCAAGGAAGGGAAAGTCAGCCTGGGCCCCTGTACTTGAACTTGCTTCCATGGGATTTCTGCCTGCAGGTAAGTCCTTCTTCAGAAGGGACTGGTACCCCGAAAGTCCCCTAGGAGCCCCCTTGAGCTGCTGAAGAGGGCTGGGCCCCACCACTGGCCTTACCCAGCTTGCTTTGCTGTGTTTGCCCACACCAGGTAGGATGCCAGCACCCCTGTGGTCCCTACATCAGTCCTCAGGGAGTTGCTACAAAGGACAAAGACTCAGAGAGCTGGATTCCCCGCAGCTGACTGGTCTGCAATGCCTCATGACTGTAGACTTCTGTGGGATGGGAGGATGCTGGCAGAAACCCTGGGCCCAGAGGGTGAGGGTGGGGCTCTCATTTCTGCCTTTGGGGTAGCTCTCTGGTGGTTGAGAAGGTGGTCTCCAATGCCCAGAGCTCTGGAAAGAACAAAGTGTTGTCATCCCTTCAAACACCCCAAGGACAAAGAT